TTGATTTTTACTGTCAAGACGGGACAACTAGACGTGAAGTTGGTTGTCTTCTTTATCTTATGTCTTCATTAAAGCCCTTTCCCTATGGCCTTGCTGCCCCTTCATTCTCTGAAAATTTTTGTTTCGCATCTATTCTTTTCCCAAGACAAAGAAAGGTCATTCATGGGTGTATCTACAATTCTTTAAACTCTCCAACCAGTGATTATGCACAACTTTGTGAGGTTTTAACATTATTTTCGAAATGTACCTTCGGTGTTAAAATAATCGCTGGTGATCTTAACTCCCCTGAAATAGATTGGCTTTTGAATATTTGTTTACCTAGATTTCAGATTTCTCAATATATTATGTATTTTTCTAACTGGTTTCGACTTGTGCAGTCTCCAACAGGGGATGACCACATTTTAAATTTTACCTTTGCCAACGATATTTCTCCCCTTCTCGTTGCTTTCAAAAAGGACATTTGGGATAATGACCATGCATTAGCTCACTGCTGCCTACCGTTTGACTTTTCGAAAAAGACCAGCGCAGTCCTAACATACCTAAATTGCGATTTTGTAGACAACGACTTTATAAATAACTGTCTTGGATCACGGAATTGAAATTACTTTCTCTTCTGTAATGATGAAACAGTTCTTCATGACGTCGCGTCGGATGTTCCAAAGACATCTTAGAATTTTTGCCTCGTACCTAACTCTTCGGATCGCCGCCTTCCTCAATTCTTTTATAACAGTCTAAAAATTCGAGGAGGCAGCTTCATGGCTTTTAGATTAGTTCTTTATCTGTCCGTCAGGAGTCACGAAATTTTCGAAGTTACCTCGAAGATGCACCAAGCGCGTAACAGGCAGGGAAGATTACTTCAGCCCTGCCAAATATGTCGTCAAAATCTCTCGTCCTCGGTCCTCCTCTGAGCGAGGACGCAAAATTACGTCTTTGCTAAAGAATAACGAAGTCTTACTCATAAATGACACTGACACGGCGGAATTATTCGATGCGCTCTTTTCAAAACATCAGTTTCTTTCTTTCGTCCGCTTCCAAATAGGACACTCAATACAATCGGTGCTTCCTCAAACCTAAGTAAGAAACACGTGGTCGTTTCAAAACTCACACAGTTCGCAACGGACAGCATTGCGAACTAAAGTATAAGAGAGATATCGGACATTTCCAGGTTGCCTATTCATTTATTCTTAGTCTAAATTCGGACAGAATTTCCCCGAAATCATGGAATACCTTATATACCCTTTCAGTTTTTGAGTCTGGATACCGATCCGATGTTAGTAATTATTAAGACGTGCACAAAACTCCGCCTCTAGCTGAACTTCTTGAAAAGATAATTCCCAATAGAATTCTGGATTCCTACCTATCTGGTCAGCTTCTGAGATCTAATTGGCATGGATATTTGCCTGATAGATCCTGTGAAGCTTGCCATATAACCTTTCTTAATCTAATGACTACTCTTTGTAATGAACGTCAGTCAATGGTAGTCATCTACTATGATCGTAGCAAAGCCTTCGACAAGGTAACATACTGGCGTCTTTTGGTAAAGTTGGAGGTCTTAGGCATCTGGCCTCCTTTATTCGGATTCGTCCGATTTTACCTATCCACCCGTTATCAGAAAGTCATGGTTGGTAATAGCTACACGACGCCCCACTCGATCACAAGTGGCGCAACTCAAGGCAGGATTCTGGGTACGATAATTTCCATTCTTTACTTCAATGATATTTCGACTGAAATCAGAAATTCGCAGACGTTCATTTTTGTCAATGACCTTAGGTGAGTTTATCCATACTCTAGGGACGCCGCAACTGTTTGCGTTGAAAAAAATTAACGTCGATCTACTAAGCTTGTGGAAATGAAATTCAACTTAACAGATGAACTTTTATTCGTCTAAGTGTAGGTTCAGGTATTCAGACCCAGTCAAGCTTCTTAGCCGCTTAATTTTCCTTAATAACCCACATTCAGAAAGTTCCACAATTTGATCTCAAAGTTTTGACCTCCGTTGGATTTGCTTTCTTTGGAACTCCAGTCCGTTGACCGCTCTTAGAACCTGCCGTTAGTAGGAATTGGACTTAAACCAGCGATGACCTCGCACTCGCAAATTTACTGGAGAATTTCAACAGGATGAACGGACACCCTTCCAACCGTTTCTCTGTTTAGGGCTCGATGGGCTTGTCCAAATCTATAGACGATCGAGTCATTCTGTCATTTATTTCATGTGGTGCAAGAAAAGGATAAGCAGGAGGGGTTTCAGTAAACAAAAAATGTCTCAGAGCAACCCGAAAGGACACAGGATCATAAAGGGGACAAGAGTTGGATACTCCGCATACAAAATTGTGCCCCGAAAATGGCGAATTATCACGAGACCGCAATAAGCAGGGAGTTTTACATTAGTCCTGATGAGTCAAACCTTCCTAAACCAGAGAATGGAGGTAGCCGGGATATCTGCGTTGAAGTCTCTGCGCTTACAAATATGCAGCTTGAATATGTAATCAAGGTTTGCAGACCATGAACGTAGAAGGATTGTGATTTTCGCAAAAGGGTGCAAAGATGTGCTACTAACTCAGTAAAAGATCAAATTACACTGCTTTACGAGACCCGCCTGATCAACCTTAATGTATATCCTCTGAGTTATAGGCAGTTGCGCGGAAATTTATGCAAAATTACCGTATCGTGCGCGGCTTGGACTGCGTCCCCCGATGTGACGATTTTTTCCAACTCTCCATTACAATTAGCCTCCGGGTACATCCCTTCAAAATACGTGTCCTAAAAGGAAGATTGGATGCGAGAAAGTATTTATTCTCCAACCGTGCCGTGGAACCGTGGAATAACCTGCCTGAGGCGATTGCAATGTCTCAGTCTGTGGAGACATTTAAATATCAGTTTGAGAGAAAAATGGTACAACAATAAGTGGACTATGCGAATTTGTAACCATAAAAAAACCAGTGCCCAATTTTAATTGATGTCTGCACTCACTTGTTGCTGAATTTCTTCATGTTGTTGCTAAGTTTTTAGATATTTATGTACAAATTGGAAATTCGAAGGCGTAAGGCTATTTCTCTCAAATGCACTAAATACTGAATACAAGACCCTCGAGCTGATCGCCGTAAATGCATTGTCGTTAAGGGCATGCGTGAGCCTGTTTCCGACACTCCAAAGGACAGAGTACAGCATGACATAGAAATATTCCAGCAATATCTCAAATCGCTCTTAAGATGGGACGAGAAAATCACGATATTGAAGGCCTTCAGAAGGGGCCGAATAAAAGGCTCAAACGATGAGTCAGACTGACCGTGACTTCTATAAATTGTTTTCCAGAATGAAAAAAGCGCAGCAGGACTTTTCACCCGCGGAGAGAGAAGTGGAAAGGGCTGAAAACGGAAGTCCTAGGGAAGTCTAGCCCGGTCGAGAAAAATTTCAAAATACGCAACAGGAAAACTATTCATGTCCAGAAGTCATTCCTCTGGAGAAAGCCTATAATCTGAGCAGCTTAGGCTTGATCCGAAGCAGTCCATCTCAATCAGATCTGACCGGCTTTTGCATTCGATTCCACGAAATGGACAGACGCCTGTATACCGGAGTTTCTCAGGCCTAGTTAGATTTTTGTAAACTAATGCTCGAAATCTCGTTTCGAATGTCAACGAATTCACACGTGCAAGGACAGGAAATTTGGCTGTCGAACAAGCTAACATCCTCTCCCTTGAATATGAATTCGTCTGGGTAAATACGAGGAAGAAAAATTCACAAAACCTAGAATTCTTGACGGTTTAAAGACCACCACGGCTTCCGCGTGCAGCTGATGAGTCGTTTCCCCAAGTAGTCAAGTAGTAGCTAGCCATCAAGAGGTCCTTATTGCTGGGGATTTTAACGCACCCCCAACAGAGTTGAGAAGTCTGTCCGTTGACGGTGTACCAACTTCCTTTAACTATAAGCTGATGGACCTCACACTCAACCTCTGACATAGCATGTAAGGGCTCCAACAAGATTTTGGGAGAACCAGGAAGCCAATGGCATGAACCTGGTTCCTACGAAAGACTTATCTAATATTGGCTAAGTGTATTTCAGTGCACCTCTCGTAAAGAAAGACCATACTACGGCACTGTGGGATTACTCGTGCTTTTGTCAACGCCAGCAAAGAACAGAAGGCTAACCTAATATATAGAAGGCAAACTTTAACACCATGAAAACGAACTGATGTCCATGAATCGGGACTGTTTGCTCAAGGGGGCTCCGGAAGACGACTGAAGATCACTTAAGAGGATTTCATGCGACCTAATTCAACGCTGTTGTTCGGCGAAGATGCACAAAAGGACCAGTTGGCCTGCCCGGCTAATTAGGGACCCGAGTAGGCAGTCAAGGAAGAGAAGTTAAAGAGGGAAGATGATCAGCGAAACTGGATTGCCAGTGCACCTCGAAGAGTTTCGTCGTCAAAAAAGGATCCGTCAGGCAGGAAGGACTATGAATGCAGAATAGCCCGACAGGCTTAATAAAAGACTACAATTTATCCCACCACATTAACCGTTGACTGAAAAAAGAACCCACCCGCAGTACGAAAGGACGGTAGTGGTGTGTAAATCATTCAAATGAGCGAGAAAGCAGAACACTCGGGTTGGTACTTTGACTCATTTCTCCCTAGGAAGCCGAGATTCGAAATCACAGAGTAAGGAAGGCTGTTGAGACCGCTGACCACTTGCTTGAATCCATACTCTTCTCGACATCTGTCACGGAAAAGTAGCTGCAGAATGCGGAAGAGGCAAAGTTGTCGGGACCGGATAATATGCCGGAAAAATTCCTGTAAGAATTGAAAAAAGAACTCTCGAAGCCCTTAACAAGTTCAGTTCAGTTCAGTTTATTGAGGGAAATAGGCGTAAGCCTTTGAGTACCCTTTTTGCAACGTAAAAAATGTGTGGTGTACAGATAGATGTTCTGGGCTAAAATAGTTCGAACACGCCCATGATGGTGGGACAAAATGAGAAGGAGTTACAGGGGGTGAGCTCGACTTCTCATCACTCTTGGTCATTTCGGAACATAAATATGTCCAGATTCTTCTTAAAACTTTGTATAGATGGTGACATCAAAACATCTGCGGGAATCTCATTCCATGGTTTGATCACCCGAACCGAGAAGGAGAACTTCCGCACATCCAGCCGTGCCTGCTGAGTGCGCAGTTTTAACGGGTGACCTCGGAGGTTGGTCGTGGTAGCAAATTCAAAAAAGTCCTCGAAGGCCAGACTGCAATCCAACCCCTTTACAATGCGGAAGGCTTGCAAGAGATCTCCGCGAAGTTGCCTGTAACTCAAAGGAAAGAGGTTCAGATTTACTAGGCGGGTTGCATAAGGAAAGGAGCTTTGACCCCTAACCATCTTCGTGGCTCTCCTCTGGACTCTTTCGAGGCAGTTTTGATCCTCAACAGCCCACGGCCTCCAAGCTTGTATGCCGTACTCTAAATGCGGCCGGACGAATGTTCCGAATGTCTTAGAGAAAGCTTCTTCGTCAAAGTCAATAAACGCACGCTTGATAGCGTACAGTACAGACATTGCGGTTTTCGCCACCCTCGAACAGTGGGCGGATGGTTTTAGGGAACTCGTCGTAAGCACACCGAGGTCCATTTGGGCTTCGACCTCTTGTAGGGCTGCACCGCCCAGAAAGTAGCCTCTTGTGCTGGCGGATCTGGCTGTGTTGCCTAGGCGAAGTATGCTACATTTGGCAACGTTGAACCGCAGGAGCCAACGGTTTGACCACTCCTCCAACCGATTCAGGTTCATCTGCAGTCTGTCTTCATCGGCAGGACCCCGAATTACACTCCATATCTTCATGTCATCCGCAAACATTGCTACTTCACAGTCTAAATCTCTTGCGGCATCGTCCACGTAGATAAGGAACAAAATGGGTCCCAGAACTGAATCCTGGGGGACACCACTATCGACCATAGCCGGATCTGATTTTCCCCGACCGACGCACACAACCTGGTGTCGACCCACAAGGAAGTTTTCGATCCATTTAAGGAAGTTGCCACTGATCCCTATTTTCTTCAGCTTATGTAAGAGCCTTTGGTTTGGCACAGTGTCAAACGCCTTCTGGAAGTCGATGAAGGCTATGTGGACCGCGTGCCTGTCGTCGAGAGCTCGGGTCCAGCTCTGGAGAGATTGCAGCAGGTTTGTCATGCAGGATCTTCCTTTTCGGAACCCATGTTGGCATTTCGATAGCAGGCCGTGAACTTCCAGGAATTGCATCAGTTCACACTTTATGATCCTTTCCATAACTTTGCAGAGAATGCATGTCAAGCTTATGGGCCTGTAATTTGTCGTCGCTGCCCTGTTACCTCCTTTGTGTAGCGGAGTAATATGCGCCAGCTTCGAATCGACAGGAAGTGTTCCAGTGTCAAATGACGTTTGAAAGAGCATCGACAAAGGCACAGAGAGCTCACTGGCAAGTTCCTTCAGAAGCTTGGGTGGAATCTCGTCTGGTCCTGGCGACTTCGATTCGTTCAATGCCTCTAATTCTCTTCGGACAATGCCTTCTGAGAAGAGTATATCACTGACGCTTGGGGTCGGCAGTTCTTCTGTGGAGGGAGGAAGGAACCTTGCCTCGTTTGTGTAGACTGATTGAAAAAACCGTGAAAAATACGTAGCTTTATCCCTACTATCAGCGATCTCAACGACATCAGTAGTCTTTATCAAGGGGATTTGATGCCTGTTCCTTGTAATTCGTCGGAGGTAGCTGTAGAGTAATTTTGGGTTCTGCGTTGCTTTTTGTAGCAAGTTCTTCTCGAATTCCCGCCGGGTCTGCATTATCAGCTTCCTCAGTTTGTTCCTCTGTGTCTTGTAGGTGTTGAAGCATTCAGCTTGTCTAGTGACGCAGTATTTTCTCCACAATTTGTGCTTCCTGTTGATTTCTTTCTTAAGGTTGCTATTTAGCCACCAAGGGCGTTTGTTCAGTCTTACACTAGTCAGTGGGCAGTGGTTGTTGATCAGCTGCAGAAGGACATTTTTGAACAGCTCCCAGTCATCGTTGGCACTTCCCGTAAACAATGAGCCCCAGTCAAGACCGGATAAGTCTGCTCTCATCTGATTGAAGTCGCCCCGCCAAACATTAAGCCTTTTGTTGTCTGGAGTAAATGAAATGGAGAATAACGAATAATCCCACATAAGCACTACGTGGTTACTTCGGCCAAGGGGCGGCATGGAGGCGATCTCGTCTATGCTGTCTGGTGTTTTCGTAAAGACCAGTCCAGGCAGTTTGCCCTTTGTCCTTCACGTGTTCTCGTTGGGAACATTAAATGTTGTGTGAGGCACGCATTTAATGTTTTGCTTAACAGGCGGTAATCGAATGCCGATTTTGGACCTGACGCTTGGAGGGTATTCCAGTTTGTTCCTGGTGCGTTGAAGTCGCCCATGATCATGACGTTTGGTCGACTGGAAAATTTCTCCAACTGCTCCAATAGTTGAGTGTCGGCGATTCGGTCTGTCCTAGGTGGTCGGTAGACAGTAAGGACATCGAGACACGGGGAACCGGTAGCCTTGATGGTCAACCAGATAGCTTCCGTACTGCACGCAAACTTGGTGGTGTTATCCGACACTGCCACCGTCATTCACATACACTACGATACCACCACCCTGACGATGTTCCCTGTCCCTCCGATAAATTTGGTATCCAGGCAAGGCTACTTTGTTATCGCTAATATTCCCGGACAGCCAGGTCTCAGTTACTGCTAAAACATCTGGAGACAGCTCAACAAGGCAAAGTTTTAGTTCGTGTAGTTTCGATATGAGGCTTTGGGCATTCGTGTACAAGCACCTCAGTTTAGCACCAGCCGAATTTCCCGTTGCATTTGTTACTGCTGTGAGCATTACTCCGTTATCGCGGACGTCGTGTTCTCTAGGCTTTTCCGTTACCTAATTGGTTCCATTTATATGTCTTTTTTCAGTCAGCCCACTGGACGCCACGGGCTACCTTGTGTTGGCGCCTTGATCAGGTGGTTCAACGAAGGTGTCTGTTTTAGCTGAGTAGCTGTCGTCGTTCGTAGTATTACAGGCTGGTTCCACTGAAACGGCATATATTTCCGAACTACCTTCCCCTTGAAGATAGCCAGATTGTGTTCGCCATCCTTCAGTCTTGATTGTAACTCCAAGACAAGTTCCCGGCGTTTCAACCGTTCCGCTGGGGAATTGTCCGGTTGAAAAAAACCTGTTTGTGTGTGTTTCTGAGATCGGTTTTTTTAGAGAGGATAAACTTGATTTGCTCTTTGTTTTCCAGCATAATTTTGAGAGGACGAGGTGGTTGTGCTACTGTCCTGTCTTCACTCCTTTTTCCTAACCGGAATGCTTTCAGAATCTTTATTTCCATGTCTGCCTGGAGTAACCGATTTAATAGAGCATGAAAAGAAGCAAGGTCCTCTGAGACACGGTTTTCAGGTCTGCCTGCATTCGATTCTGACAAACCCTGAATAACCAGACATTGCTGGCGAGCATGGTCCTCCTTACTTTGTCTTTCCAGTGAATGCGCTGCATGTGGGCGAGGACGATTAACGGAGTCATCGCTTGAACGCACACTTTTACTGTCTACTGACTGTCCCGAGCAACCCATCAGGGCTTGCTGTGACTTCAGAATCCTGTCATGGCGTTTCCCTCTCCCTCTACCCACGGGTATATGTCTTCGCATTCAGATACGTGCTCTGTAGTGCGCTCGGGGTGGTTGCCAGAACAAAAGGGCAACAGTAGACTGGATGACCCAGGTATCTAGTCTCCAGGCAGAACAGAAATCCCATCACTTACAGCAAGAGGCTTAAGTGAGATGACTTCCGCGACAGGTAATTTTTTTGCGACATCGCTTAAGACATCGTGCGTGGGAATCGAGTCTTCCTTTATCGGCGGCTTCATTTTCATTGTCCTGCTGTTACCGGCGTCTGCGGTTTTGGTTGTTGAGTTGCTACTCGTGTTTCAAGATTCCCCCGAGGAGATATTTTTTCGCGTTTTTTGCGTTTTGCTCTTCATTTTTGGGATTCTAACACTGGACACGTTCTGGTCGACTAGGGTCTGTTTCACGAGCGTCCTTAAATCAGCAAGCTCCGTTTCGAGTTGTTCTACTTTGATTTGAATATCTGCGCACCCACCACAAGGCTCGTCTTCGTACCTCACAATTTTTGCGGTATTTACGATTTTTGCACGCTTTGCTGGTCGTTGGCTGGAGGCGAAGATAGAGCGAGCACAGGTTCTGGATGCGAACGACAACTCACCGGACTTATCTTCCAAAGAGGTGCCGCCACTGGCCGTATAACTACAGTTAGCTTTCTGAGAATCCATAAACTTCGACGTGATATATTAGGTATAATTTCGCTTTCGGTGTTATAACGAATACGTCGGCTTATATATGATGAATTAAAGTGGGTATTCAAAACTCAATAAGCGAAAAAATACTTAAAATCCGATAAATTTTGTTGAATTTAATCAGAAGCGACTTAGCCCGTTCCAGATCTCGTGGGACTTGAATAACTGCAGACCTTGAAGGATTTTGAGCGATTGGTTTTCTAGGCTGTATATCCGCGATTCGGTTGCGTAGCAAGTTGCAATGTCAGTTGGAGCGTGCTGATAAACAAATTGCACTTAATCCAGGTTCCTGGCGAATTTCGATGCGTGGAAAAATATTCCAAAAATGCACAAAGTAATTCTGTACGTACGGTTTCAGTATCAATGTCGGAGACTGTAACTGTGGTATGGTAACCAAGTATGGTAACCTCTCGGGAAAAGTGACCATACCACGCTATTATGGGATTACTCGCTCTTCTCTAAACGCCAGAAGAGAACAGAGGGCCAGCCTAATAAATGGAAGGCAGATTTTAATATGATGAAGGAGGAATTGCTGTCCGTGAATTGGGACCAAATATTCAGGGGAGATCCGGAGGACGACTGGAGATCTTTTAAAACGATTTCACTCGATCTGATTAGGCGCTGTTGTCCATCTAAAGTACAAAAAACAACTAGTCGACCTGCTTGGTTAACTAGGGACCTAAATAAGCAGCTACGGAAGAAAAGCAAAAGATGGAAAATATTCAGGGAAACTGCGTCACCAGCGCATTTCGAAGAATTTCGTCGTCAACGAAACGCCGTCAAAAAATGTATCCGTCAGGCACGGAAGGAGTATGAATCCAAAATTATACGACAGGCTGAACAGAAGCCTAAGATTTTATTTCACTATCTGAACAGTAGACTGAAAAATAAGGACCCGGTCGCGGTGCTGAAGGATGATAATGCTGTAGAGATCATTGAGAACAACGAGAAAGCCGAACACTTAGGACAGTATTTTGCCTCCGTTTTTACTAGAGAAACTGAGTTTCGCTGTCGCAGTACCGGCAATGCTCTTGAGACTGTTGGTCCCGTGCTTGACTCCATACTGTTCCCGGCAGCTGCCGTGGAAAGGGAGCTGAAAAATCTCAAAGAAGCAAAGTCCTCGGGTCCGGACAATATACCGGCCAAATTCTTGAAGGAACTGGCGAATGAACTTTCCAAACCACTGGCGCACATCTTCCGCTCGTCATTCGAATTAGGGAGGTTGCCATCGGAATGGAAGACAGCAAATATCTTTCCGATATACAAGGGCGGGGCTCGCACTAATGCTAACAATTACCGGCCTGTTAGTCTAACCTGCATCTGCTGTAAAATAATGGAGGCCATAGTTAAGAAAGCAACTATGGAGTTCCTGGAGCAGGGCCATTTAATCTCAGACCTGCAGCACGGCTTTAGACAGAACCGCTCGTGTCTTTCCAGTTTATTGCTCTCAACGGAGCAGTGGACTCGCGCACTGGATGAGGATGGGAGGGTTGATGTCATATACACAGACTTTAAGAAGGCGTTCGACAGCGTCCCACACAAACGCTTAATCTACAAACTTTCTGAAATTGGGATAAGAGGAACGCTGCTGACATGGATAACAGATTTTCTTACCGGGAGATCGCAAACCGTGTGCGTTGAGGCCTCAAGGTCAACTCCGACTCCCGTTTTAAGTGGTGTACCCCAGGGCTCCGTCTTAGGGCCGTTGCTATTCCTGGTTTACATTAACGACTGCGTCGACGACCTAGGATGCAGCGCCATCATGTTTGCTGACGATGTTAAGCTGTGGAGACCCATCAGATCTGATGCAGACAGGTACGCGCTTCAAGACAGTCTCA